GGTTCGTCCACGCTGTGACAAGTGCCTGTGCTTCATTCCCTTATGTGACCAAATAGGATCCCATTGTGTGGCCAGACCATCATCTGCTGGTGGCCAGAACATCAGCTGTTTGGTGGACCTTTGAGTTGTTTTTACCTCTTGGCCATTGGGAATGGTGCTGCTGTGAGTAATCATGTACAAGTTTTTGTTTGAACACCTGTTTCAGTTCTTTTGGGTCTGTACCCAGGCCTGGAATGGACATTCCGCACCTTTTGTCCCGTTTGCTTTGACATTTTCCTGCATGCTTGTCCTCAGTCTGCGTCTTTCTGTGGTTCTCCCCCAGCCATAAATTGTGTGTTTTCTTAGAAGAAGAGCATTATCTCATGTACCACGGGACAGTTCTCAGCACCAAGCAATTCCTCCTGTCCCTTGGCCCCATAGCAATACCCTTGCAGCATTTCCTTGTAGCAGAACGTCCTGTTGAGGGTCACATGCTGCCTTGAGTTGCTTTATCTCTTTACCCTCTCTTAATTTGGGACACTCCCTCTGCCTTTCTTTGTCTCTTTGACGTGATGTTTTGGATCATTACCCCATCCGCATTTTGGATTTTCTGATACTTCCTCCTGTCCAGGTTGAGGTCACAATCCCAGATAGGACATGGAGACGTCGTGCACTATTTAGGTCCACATCTGGACCGCCTTTGCCCGTTGGGTTCCCCGTCGGCTCTCCACAAAGGGCCGTCGCATCTCTGCTGTGTGGTGCCTGTCTTCCCGACACAGAAGCAGCTGGACGGGACGCACGAAGCCTCTACAGATGTCCCGCTCCAGCAGGTGTCCTGGGTTTAGCCTCCATTAGGAATTCTCGCCTGTCCCGGGCTTTGCTGAGACTGCTACAGTAGCCTCCCCCATCACCAGCCCGTGGGAGCCCTCTGCTCTCAGGCATGCAAGGCTCACTCAGTGTGTGTGACTGTCCTGTGTTTGTTTATTTCAGTGTTCATTTCATTTACATTATGTTTACTTGTATTCATTACTGGAATGGACGCACGGATTCTTATCTTTCAGTAGTCTATAATTGTCTTGATGCTCAAAGTGCCCTGAATTTGGCTAGTGGGATCCCTTCAGGTAGGTCCCCCTGTCATTTTAATGTGACTCTGTTGTTCTCTTGAAGCTTTTCTTCCTTCTGGCAGAACACCAGGTGCCAGGGCTCACCTTGTACTCCTGCCCTGCCTTAATTGGCCATTTCTCTGAGGAGCCTGGTTTCTTCTCAGGAGGGTGGCCTGGGTGCCGCTGGGCCCAATAGCCGCTCAGGCCCTTCCTGGCCCCTTTGAGCAGATGGAGCTAGAGAACATAAGATCACGCATGTGCACACACCATGCACGCATGCGTGTGCCATGCACATGTGCACGTACACGGCCCGTGTGCCGTCCTGCACATATTCTTAGTTTAGAGATCTCGGGGTTCTCTGGACACCCCCAATTCCATCAACCCTGGGGCCCTCCCTCCCTTCCCTTCCCCCTTCCACATTGCATCTCCTGCCGTCCACTTGAGAACAGCTGGGTTCATTGACAAACATGCTCCATTCAGAATGCATGTAAAAGTTTCAGGACTGCTTCACCCATACCACCTCGAAAGACGAGAGGGCACATCCCAGTGAGGTTGTAATGACTCAGATGCTTCCGCCCCTCCCAGGGGGATGCGGGGTCTGGGAAGTGTCACCCTCATAATCAAGAGTTAATTGCTAAGCACAAAGAAAATTATTAAGTCCTATTTGGTGCTAGCACCAGTGGGTTTTGTGTGCTTACAGCTCCATACTTTTGAGCTCTTGGTGGGGTTACAGAGCATCGGTGACTGGGAGAGCCAGGTTACCAGGAAACAGCAAGGCAACCAAATGCTTTGATTTTATCTTGTGACGTTCCTGACAAAATAATTAAATCAGCCTCTACTCTCAGGCAAATGCTTCTGAGAATGGCCTGCGTTTGAATGGGCCAGGCAGCCTGCACACACAGCCTCCGTCGTCTCTGACACGGGCTCTAGGGTCTCGGGCTCAGAAAAGACTCCAGAGGCCGCCTGTCCAGCCAGGGCTAAGAATTCCTTTCTGTTGAGTCAGGATCTCTACCTTGCACTTGCCCTTCTAGTGACCGTCCAGTGGACTCTGGGGGAGTTCTGCTGCCGGTTTACACATCAGGAGATGGGCTTTGAAAGGTTAGAGGTAGGAGCTGTGTCCGGCCCTGTCGGACATGTGCCCCGGACAAGCACCAGCTGTGACAGACCTGGTGGTGAGCCGTTCAGGAGCAGGAGATGGCTGATGAGCACAGGGGCGGTCTTTTCCAGCTCTCACAGCCATGTCCGCCATGTGGATGGCAGCCCATGTGGAGGGCTGCCTGGGGATAGGAGGTCCCTGCCCTTGACCGATGCTTTGGGCTTTGGTCAGGCACAGTTCCTGCCCAGACATCTTTGGAGGGGCTCTCCGTTCCACTCCTTCCTGCCCAGAATGTCCCATCTGGTGCACCTTTGGAAAAGGATCGAGCCTGTGACCCTGATTGACCTCTTGATCCCCGAGTGCTGTGGAGGAAGGGACATGGGCTTTGGAGACATAGGCTGTGGGTCAGTTCCTGGCTACATCATTACCATTCAAGATTTCAAGCAGTTCAGGACTCTGAGTAATGGGGGCAGTGTGTGCCTCATGGGTTTATTGGAAGGATCAGAGAGCAGGCCTGATTCCCTGATGTGCTGTCTGCCTCCCCACTCTTTCTCAAGAGCTACAGCTAAACAGCCTGGGTCTCCAGGCTCTGTGTAGTCTTCAAACACCTCCCTGCCACTGTTTTTCACACTGGGAATGGTGCATGTGTTTGATGAACCCTTGCACACAGTCAGATGCTCGCGTCTGGGGCGCCAGTCTGTGCATCCGCTCTGCAACTTGGAGTTGTCAGCAACTGAAGTCAAAGGGGGGACTTGGTAAGGAGCAGGGTTTGCAGGCCAGGTCCTTGGGCATGGCCATCTGCTCTGACCAGGCCCTGGGCTGGGGCAGAGCCCATCCTGAGAAGCTGTTCCACGGGGGACTCAGAGGATGTGTGAGGGAAGGCATCTTAGAACCTCTCCCGGCTTTTATAGGACGAGGCGCATCAGTGCGGTGTCTGTACCCTGCGTAGACTCGTGACTTTTGGAGGTTCTGGGGAGGCAGAGGGTGGAAGGAGGACTCTTCCTTGAGAGTTGCTCCCCTCACCTTGGCTGCAGGGGGGTGTCCTGTGACAGCGCCGCGGGCGAGCTCATGCAGCCACCCTGTAGCGGTATCCCCCACACCAGAGCTCCTAGTGCATGGGAACCGTCCTCAGCAGTCAGTTGGTTTTCCGGTCCTGCAACGGGGATATTTATTTGGAAAGTGAGTCTGAAGTGGGACTTGGGTGCTGGAGATGGCATTTATGTAAGGTCACAGTTGGTCGACGCAAATATTTACTTGGGACAGACACTCTCTTGAAGATTTGCACCCATAAAAACCACTGAAACTTGAAGTGGCTCACTTCCCTATCACCTAAACATTGTCTCGCCTCTCCCGCAGGAAGCCCTGCCTGTGTGAAAATCCTTGAGGGCCCCCTCTTCTGGGGAGGTGGGCCCCCTGAGTGGAGTGTATGGGGCAGGAGGAGTGGGGTTCACTTTGATCCCGCCTCAGCCCGCATTGGAGGCCAGGGCTCCCCAGTCTCAGCCCAAAATGGAGACCAGGGGTACCCGGTCTTAGCCCACATTAGAGGCTTGTACCCCCAGCGCCAGCCCACACTGGAGGGCAGGACCCCCAGCTCCCGTGCATTAGAGGATAGGGACCCCCAGCAGGCCTATCTTGGAGGACAGAAGCCCCTCTGCCCCCAGCTGCCTCATGAGCACTCTGAGCTACAGCATGCCTGCTGCTGATAGTACAGAGCCTTCCGGAAGAACCAGGGCATGTGGTGCATCAGAGTCAGACATCTTGGAGATGCCAGGTGCGTGCCGGTGGCTGGGTTTAGACGTTGGTCCTGTGAGGGAGCTCTGGCTGGGTCCTGAGCTTAGTGACGCCAGGGACGGGGGTTTCCTTGTGAGGAAAGACTGGTTCTGCTGCCGAGGCTCAAGGACCCCATCCTGCTGCCCCCCCTACCCCGCAGCGAACAACTCAGAGAATTGAGAATCAGGATGTGACTATGTTTTATTGAGAAAGGCTGGACGTTCCTAGCAATCACTAGTTTTTCTTTTGTACATTTTAAGGAGAACTGTATACATTGCCGTCATCTTCGTCCCCACTGTTACTCTCAGAGGCTAACTTTCTCCCATACATGCTGGCTCCCCAGCCTGTACCCCCATGGGCTCCTTCCCTGGTGGTGTAGGTGCAGAGACACCCGCAAACAGGTAGCACTGGGCCAGCGACTCGGACAGCAGGGGGTCTCTGGTTGCAGAAGAGCCTTCCTGCTGAGGCAGCCCGAGTGCTCAGGGTCACGCAGTTGCTGTCAGCGAGGGGCCATTCTGAGGGGTGTGCCTGGGCGAAGCGCTTCTCCGTTCCCCTCTGACTCAAGTGCACTTGTTAGTACTCATAATAAACTGTAGGCCACAGATGTGGGGGATGGACCATAGTATCCAGTTCAGATCCGCTGAGTGTGTTCTGTCTCCCAAGGATGGCAGATTTATGGCAGATTGACCTTGAAACTAAGGTCTTGCCTCCAAAATGTCTCCTTCGTTTTTCTTTCATTGGCCAACAAGAGAAATGTCCTTTGCTGTGGGATACAGTGTGTGCAGAGTGGCCCCCATGCCCTGCGCCTGCTCACGCCAGCCCCAGGCCCCGCAGCCGTGATGTGGGTGGGGAGCCCCAGTGCTGTGTGCTCGGCCCAAAGCCAGGGTGGCTTGCAGTGTGGGCTCCTGAGAGCCCACGTGTGCCCACAGCTGGGGCACAGGTGGGCTGGCAAGTTCGGACTGGGCTCAGGGCACGGTGTGGCCCAGCCCTTCCTCCCGCCTTGCCCTGGGGCGACACAGTGTTGGGCCTGTGCTGACACCGCTCAGCCGCCTCTATACGGCGCTGCTGAGCTTTACATCCGAGGGCTCGGTGCTGTCTGGAATGACTGCCTTCAGGGCAGCATGGCAGAAGCGGTTCAGAGCTGACATGTTGGTTTTCTGCTCAATGTACAGCCTCAGTTTGTCCCGAAAAGTCTCCCCCAGAAAGCTGTAGATGAGGGGGTTCAGACAGCTGTTGGAGAAAGCTGCCAGGTTGACGATGTGGCCAGTGAGCGGGTAGGCGTGGCGGAAAGACTGTGTACAGGGAGCGGCTCCTGGCTGCGTGCGCTGCAGGAGGTGGACGCTGATGAAGACGTTCTCCGGCAGCCAGCAGATGAAGAACACGAGGACCACTGCGAAGATCATGCGGAGGGCTTTCTGCCTCCTCGGGCGCAGGCCTCGGTGTTTGTGAGCTTTGATGAGCACCCGGACAATGAGCGAGTAGCACAGGCCGATGATGGCGAAGGGGATGATGAAACCCAAGGTGACTTCCAGCCACTGGATCTCCTTGACGTCTGCAAAGCAGAAGCAGACCTCCTCCGTGTGCTGCAGGTGCACCGCGGTGAAGGGCACCAGCGTGGCAGAAACAGAGGCCATCCAGATGAGGCCGCAGCTCAGCCTGGCGTGGTGCTTGGTGCGGAACAGGCTGGAGCGCATGGCCTTGGCCAGGGCGATGTACCGGTCAAAGCTCATCCACGTGAGGAAGAAGATGCTGCTGTACATGTTGATCTGGAGGAAGAGGGACATGAAGGTGCACAGCACAGTGATGTCGTAGTACTGCTCGTCCAGGTTGAACACCTCAATCAGGGAGTCTGCCACCAGGATGAGGTCAGCCGCCGCCAGGTTGATAAAGTACAAGTCCGGGATTGTCATCTTTTCCCGGAAGCTGATGTTCACCACCAGTATCAGGATGTTCCCCACGAAGCCGATGGGGAAGAGGAAGATGGTATACAGGCAGGAGAGGAAAAGCCCAATCACATACTGCTGGTGCTCGGAGAGCTCTCCTGTCTGGTTCGCCAGGACGGTGCCAGTGAGTGCGCTGGACAGGTTGAGCTCTGGGGAGGTGCTGTTGGAGGCGCCGGGGTGCGTCTCCATGCCAAAGACGTCCATATCCCCAGATGCACAGCTTTCACGGTTTGCTGCACGGCTCACAGAAATCCAACTTAAACGATAAATCCATCTCTAGAAAGAAAGGCGATGCTCTTTGAAGTGAGCCAGATGTTTGTAAGAGCAGAACTCATCACAGGCACCACCAGAAGCAGTGTGGGTCTGTTTTGCAGAAAGCTGAGCAAATGGAGAAGGTTATCCATGTCCGCGCCGTGAGTGACTCCTCTTCTGGGCGTCTGCTGGGCGCCCTGTCTGGCCGTCTGCGGGGCGTCTGCTGGGCGTCGACTACTGTGTTCAGTGCCCACTGGCTAGCACTCACTACCTGCGCACCTGAGAGAAGCATACAGAACAGGAGTAAGTCTTTGGTTCAAGTCTTTACGGCTTTCTGATGGCTTTCTGATGAGGACGGTCTCTGCAGCAGATGGCCAACAGGGTGACGGCAGGCACATGCGTGTGAAGGGAAGGCTGGGACTTGAGGTCCTTAGTGTCTTGGAGAGATGGTTGTCACTGAGCTGAGGAAGAAGAATTAAGTAGAGAAAATGCCCCATTTTCTGTCCCCAGGGCTCCCGGGCCACTCAGTCTGACTGGAGCCTGGCCCGTGAGTCATCCTAATGCGCGGTGGACGCCTATTTTTTAAAATAGTTGAATAGCAGGCTTATGAAGTAACATGGCTGTTGGGTATGGAAATCTCAGGAAAAGTACTATTTGCCAGCAGAGGAAATAAAATTTATTTCAGCAGCTGTTGGAAAGAGAACTAAGATGGGAAGGGAAAAACCCAGCTTCTATGAAGATATTGGACCCAGAATGCTTCGTGGAAACTGGAGCAGAATCTCTTAAAATAAAACAGATAAAAGAAATCTAGTTTGTTTTTCGGTTTTGTTTTTTTGCTAACCTAAGCTTGGGTGCCCCAAATGAAACTTTTTTCATGATATGAAAGAGAAAAAATCATAAAAATGGTACTTGCTTTAGTAAATATTTATCCAATGTTTTCATAAATTATTGTAAAATCTAATATATTTTTGTAATGTTTGTAACCTAGAAGCTGGGGGGAGAAAAAAAAAAGCCTGAGCAAAGCCCTTTAGACCTTTGCTGCTGACAGGTCTAGCCTACGGGGCCGTCCACCACGCCTGGCTCATCCGCGGTCTTGACAGGCGAGTTAGCTAGGGTTCGCTGGGCAGCCGTGGTGGTATTTGGACCGTCACAGCTGGGGAGGGGTGCCCTTGCCTCGAGGGGGGGCCCCGCCACAGAGGATGAGAGAGACCCCAAGGAAGCCGACCTGGCACATTAAAATGGACTTGAATTGTTTTTCTGTTGAGAGTTCTTGTTTTACCCTGTGAGATCATTAGGAGTCATTTTTGAAGTGTTGCCAAACCAGCCTAGACATTTATTGAACCACTGCTTGAAAATACTGCTTAAAAAAAAAAAGGGCAGAAAAGCAAAAAAACATAAATCAGAGCCTTAGGGTCAGTTATTATTTAAAAAGCATTCAGTAAGCTTTGCTTAGCTGGTGTTGATAAGTTTATTAGTTATTTTGCATTTTTTTATTCTTTAGTGGATAATACCAGTTTGAACCACATAAATGACATTGTTCCCAGATACTCTCTGTAATGTTTAAAGCCTCTGTTTTTAAATTTCTTTGTAAAAAGTGCCGCGGGTGCTTGTTTTGCTCTCTAAATGTGGAAACTTGGGGCCGTTTTCGATGCTTCCAGAGGAAGGCTTGAAGGTGAGGGAGCCCACCGCGCACACTCGTCCTGTTCCTATGTTTGTCAAGATAGGCCATGTGGGAAGAGTTTCAAAGCAAGTCCTGCGCTTCTTTCCCACGTACATGAGTCTTTTGATCCTTGGCAAATACTGTTATTTCATAGCGGCCTAGAACCTACACAGGAAGTAGGGTGCATTTCCTACCGCCACAGCACCCTCCTGAGTGTTGACCATGAATTTATAAAGATGAGCATGAAACAGTTTGGTATCGTTTTGTTTCGCGTTTCCACTGCTCGTCTAGTTCTAGAAAACTAAAACCACATTTGCCAAATCTACTGGGTGTGTATCTTTGTGAAGGAATACTAATCCGCCCAGACGTGTGGCTTGGGTGAGCGTTTTCATTGAGCGACTGAAGAGCGGTACTGTAGACAGAGCCGTCTGATTGTCCTAATGTGAGACAGCCCCTTGCTTGAGCGGAATACGACAGAATACTGGATATTATTCTCGGCGTGCCTCACAGAAAGAACCTTTGTGCATAAGCCTCCCCGGCTACAGTCACTCTGACATTGTTAGAGCCATGTCTGGGTTCTTATGTGGAGGAGGAGGTCTGTAGCCTCAACGCCCCTCTCACCAGAGCGTGGCCTGTGTATCCACATCTGCATCCAGCTGTAAGCATAACAAGCGGCACCTTACCCGAGACCACTGAGCCAGGACTGCCTGGCGGTCCCTTTCGCCCCCAACGCAGAACCAGGAACCCAGGACAGAGACTCACCTGCACCGCAGCCAGCCACCCCAACTTGGGCCGGTTCTGAGCAGACCCTTCCCCCGTCCCTTGGAAGGCTTGTCAGCCAGCCTCAGCAAACGTGCTCATGGCAGGCTGCAGGCGTAGCTGCAACTCTCCCTCAGGTGGTGGGGATTCTGGACTTGGTTCCACCCGTCGAAGAATGCCGGAGCGGTGGTCCTGGGAAGGGAGGCCTGGTGCACGAGGCTGACCTGCCAGAATGCCGGTCATTGCTCTGGACACCAGGGCACTGCAGGCTTTATAGGCTTCCCAGGGCCGCCCATTGTGCTCTGCACCGCTGGACGGCCTCCTGAGAAGGCCAGCATTAACCATTTTTTTGCTGGCCTTTTTTCTCCCACACTGTGGCAATGAGCTCGGTCCCACTACACATTTTTATGGAAGTTTCCAGATTTAACTGCTTTTCTTCACCCACTGATACAATTTTTTTTAAGTGTGAAAGCATTGGAAGTAGGTCTTGTGTACCTTTCAGATGATGACCCGTCGTCATTTGTTGGAACTGAAATGGTCTTGCTTGTTTTTAAAACTAAGCACTAGATTTCCTAAGCCTAGACAGTACTGTACTAATTATACTTAGAGAATTTAACCTAGAACTTTCACAAAAGCATTTCCAGAAAGAAATTTAAACCCCAGAAATAGCAGGTATCTGGGGCAAGTCCATTAGGAATCAGAGTTTTTTTCCTGCTCTCAGTGTTAGTCGTGTCTCAGCACTCCCCTTCCCTCTGCTCCTGAAACCGCCTGCGTGCACCTGTCCAGCAGGAGTCGGTGACCAACCCGAGAGGCCCCCTCCTCCTCCTCCCCGCCACGGCCGCGACTCCTGTGTGATCGGGGTGAACTTAGTTCCAGTCCCAGGGACCCCCAGTGCCTGACCGTCCTGCAGGCAGCTGCTGTCTCCTGCCCCACCAGCCGGGGGTTGGGATTCACCATCGCCTGGGAGAAAGGCCGGCAGAGTCGCACCAGTGTCCAGGTGCCTGCACATCAGGTCTGTAAGGTCTGCAGGACCTGCCATGCTCTGGCTGCTTGTGCCACGTGCGGTGTTCATGGACATCACCACATTTTAATGGGTCTCATACCTTCCTCTTGGTGACTTTTTGAAGCTGTGAGATTGAACTGAGCATGAATGATCCTTTGGATTACTGAGTGTGAATAAAGCAGTTGGCCGCTGCGTTGGCAGCATGGGGGCCAGCATGTTCCCCCCCTCAGAGGACAGAGGCTGGTGCCCGGCTGGGAGTGGAGGCATCTGGTCGGACGAGGGCGCATCGGGCGCGGGGTGCCCCTCCGGTTACGGGCACTGCAGGTGGCCAGTGTGGTCCCTGCAAGCTTTCTGTTTTGTCAGGAGCCTCTGAGCAGAACCAGGAGCCCAGGACGGAGACTCACCTGCACCGCAGCCAGCCGCCCCAACTTGGGCCGGTTCTGAGCAGACCCTTCCCCCGTCCCTTGGAAGGCTTGTCAGCCAGCCGCAGCAAACGTGCTCATGGCAGGCTGGAGGCGTAGCTGCAACTCTCCCTCAGGTGGTGGGGATTCTGGACTTGGTTCCACCCGTCGAAGAATGCCGGAGCGGCGTTCTTTGAAGGTATTCTGGAGGGTAATAATCTAACATCTTTCAGATTCGTGTTTTATACACATATTTTTCAACAGAAAATACTATGTTAAATTTTTTGTGGAAAAATACTAGCATCAGTGTTCTTTCCAGCTTTGGAATCCAGATACAATTCTAAACTGTTAGCTTCTTCAAGTTCTGAATGACATGGTAACGTGAACAAGGCCCTAACGATGCCCGAGGACACCATTTTGAAAGAAGTGAGTCATGAGAAAGTACAACTTCCTCTTGTGTTAAAAAAAATAAATAAAAATCCGAACCTTGAAATAGCCAAGACATGCCACGTAAAAATAGCCTCTGTCTACTCGCCCCGGCCCGTGGCTGCAGCCGCTGTGGTCCCGGTGGCTGAGGAGCTTCCAGCGGCTTCTGACGCGCCACCCCTGCGTCTCCCGCTGAGGTCGCTCCGGGACGGGCGGCCCTGCGGCTGGCGGGCTGATGTTGTGCAGAAGGTGTGGCATCGGCTGCTGAGGGCTACCAGGTGTTGGCACTGGGTGGCTAGTAACCTGTCAGCCCTCACACGACTGGCTCGCGTAAGACACAGGACCCCGCTGGTAGGGATTTCAGTCCATGAACCCGAGCCCGGGGATGGGAACATCCTGCAGACGTCTCTGTCAAGCATAAAGACCTCCTGTAAAGTTTAAAATCCACCCTTCAGTGAGCGTTTACTCACGCTAGGCTCTGTTTGCTATGCGCGTTATATCCGCTGGCTCACGCCACCCTCACTGAGCACCCTGGCATGTTGGGGCTGGTCCTGTCCTGCCACACGGGTGAGAAGCCTGAGCTCGGGGCATTTGCCCCAGGCCTCGGTCTGGCTGACTCTGGCCCACGGTCCTTGTCATCACACTGAGCGCTTCCCACGTGGCCAGTCCCCTTGTAACAAGGTTGTCTCCATGCTGAATTTGG